TGAACATCCAAAGCATAAATTTTCATTAGAAAATGTAAGATAGAAAGAAGAACATGACCCACCCATTTCCAAGCCACAAAGTTCAATAATTTACACATCTGTCTCTCCCCCTCTACCTCAGAAGCCACAACTTTTCATTAGATTCTAAACCAACTTTTCATAATGTGCAATCTTCCATCAACATGAACATTGCTCTGTAAGTTGAGCTAGCAACTCTGTAGCCAAGTGTAGCTCCACAAATTCCTGCTCATCCTTCCACCCAATTCTGTGAAGTGCATCTTCTCTCCCTCAACTATCTCCCATCCCAGCAGGTCCTTGTACAAAATGTGTATTTGGGTTTGCTTCCCCATCCCTTTCTTTTTGGTGCTAAGTCTTTAGATGGTAAATTCTGAGGGCAGGGGCTGGAGTTTTGTTTTTTTAACTGAAAGCTACTCTGAGAGCTGGGTAGAGAACACATGAAACAAGCAAACTACTCTGCATACAAAGCACAAGCTCCACCACCAAGCTAAAGCCCCACGCCTATTACATGAGTTTATCTAGAAGCCAGCTTACAAATATCAGCTGCCTCCAGGATCTGCTTCCCACATGATCCCCCCCAACAGGAACCTCCTTGAAAGATCAACCCTCCCACTGACAGATGCTCACCTCACACACACCCAAGATCCACCCCTCGCATACACTCTGTCAGGGACCAACTTTGCAGGATCTGACCCCCACTCCAACAGGCCCCCATCTGCAGTATCCATTCCTCACAGACAGCAGCTTCCCTTCACAAACACTCAATATCCCCTTCTCTGGGTCTGAGAAGCCCCCTTCCCCAATGCAACAGTGACCCCAACAGGAGCCAACAATGTGTCTCAAGGATTCAACCCCACCTGGTACCTCCTTTATAAACCTTTCAGAAGTCTACTTATTTTATATAGCTGCCCCATAGCAGGAGTACTCAAGGAAGCCAGTGTGGTTAGAGTGTTGGACTAAGACTGGGAGATCAAGGTTCAAATCCCCACTCAGTCATGAAGCTCACTGGGTGACCTTGGGCCAGTCACAGCCTCTTAACCTACCTCACAGGGTCACTGTAGAAGAGGGGTGAACCATGTACTCCTTGGAGAAAAGGATGGGATATAAATGCAATAAGCAAGCTCTTCTGCTGGCGTACTACTTAAGAAAGCTGTTGAAGCCAGCCAGATGAAGATATTAGTCGCCAACCTGGCATCCACGTGGTTGCAATTGGACCCACGCCACTAGCAAAATGCTACTGGCTAATTTCTATCACAACAAAGCACATGCTCTACCATGGGCATAGCCAGGTGGAGCGCAGGGGTCAGCTGTCCCCCACTACATCAAGTAAATAAATAGAAATACTTAACTGACCCCCCCCCAACAAAAAGACACACACCCCCTCAAAAAAATCCTGCCTGTGCCTATGTGCTCTGCCACTCTACCACTACACTATGACAGTGGTGTAGCCCATTCCCCTTCAGGAACACAGGAAGAAAAATGTGAGGGTCCTCTTGTTTACAAATACCAGCTGCCTTCAGCATGTGCTCCAACAGACACCACCTTCACATATCCTTGCAGAACCTGGCTGCTGCTCCAAGAACCAACCCTGCAGGCTCCATGCCACCACCCCCATTCTGACATGTGGGGTCTCCAGGATCTCTCCACCCCCACTGTGACACTCATTCACACACACACCTATGATCCATCCCCTGGCTCCGAGAAGCTCCTTCTATGACCATCACACACTCATACACTTCCTTCTCTCGCTTAGCATCCCTCCTTGCTCTGACAGGTACCCCCTCCACTCACTCACATACCCACACCCATGACCCACAGGTACCTCCACCACCCCACCCCGCAAGATTCACAAAATCCACAACCCCTGCGAAAGGCCCCCATTCCCTTCACCCACCCCAGAATCCACTCCCTGGCTCCCGAGGACCCACCACCTCCTCCTCCTCCGTTCTGACAGCCACCTGCGCCCGAGAAGCCTAACAGCCTTCCTTCCCCAGGGTAGAGAACGCGAAAGGCCTCTTGTTTACAAAGCCCAGCTGCCTCCAGCACTTTCCCCCGCTGCCTCGCTCCGACCTCCGCGGGGCCCACCACGCCCAGCCCCGTTTCCGAGGGGCTCCCCTCGCCCAGCCTTTCGTACTCTCTCAGGCCCCACGGTCACTCTGAGAAGCTTCCCACAGGATCCGAGCCCTTCCCCCGCCCTTCCTCACCTGGCTCGGGAGGCCCGTTGGGAGGAGGAGGAGGAGGCGGCGGCTGAGGCGGCGCGCGGTCCCTGCTGCTGCTGCTGCCGAGGCGGGTTCCTCCTGGCTCGAGGCGGCGGCGGCCTCCGCGACTCGCGCTCCCCAACGAAGGCGCCCCATGAAGAGCGAGAAGCCGCCGGCCGAGGCGCCCCGGACGTCGAGGCGTCCCCGTCTGCCGCGGCCGGTTCCTGAAGGCGGCTGGCGGCGGCGGCTGGCGACTCGGGCTCCTCGGCCGCCGGCGCGAAATCCACGTCCATCGCTTCCTGGTGGGACATGTCCTCCCCTCAGAGGGGAGGGAAGGGACCCAGGCGTCCGGGCCTGACTCTCCCTCAACTGCAGTCGCTCGAGCGCCCCGCCGCTGCTGCTGCTCCGCCTCCAGCTCCCGCGGCCCCTATTGGTCGCTCGTCCAGCCGCGAAAGGCCGAGCGCGAAAGCAGGATTCGGCTCCTATTGGGACAGAGCGGAGCGTACGTCGCATTTCCATTGGGCTATACGTCTGTCAATTTTGGAGAGGGAGGGAAACGCTTCTGAAGGGCACCGCCCTCTGCGAGCGGAAGGGAAAAGTTGAGGTCGTAATTGGCAAGGTGCATGCGCAGAAAGGCTTCAAAGACTTGACAACTGCAATAGCCACAGGCGGGGCGGGACTTCCGGTTTTTGATCCCGAAGCGTCAAATGACTGCTCTTCACAGCATAAAATGGGGAAAATGCAGAATTTTACCATAGTTCACCGCAGTGCATTGTAATGTACAAGCAAAGATAAATGTCGTCCCTTCTTTTGGCTCAGATATTAATGCCACAAACCCACACTAGAAGTTACATGAGAAAAGGGAGCGGAAGGGTATTATCTGTTCAGAACCAAGCTGAACCTGTCACGTTCCCGATCAATTATAGCCTGTACCAGCAAGGCTAAGGTCTCTCCACCCCCCCCCCCGCCCCAATTACTTGGTCCATGGTCCAGCGAGACTTGAAACCCGTCCTTGAGATTTTAAAGCAAAAACGGGGTTCAGCTGAAGCATGTGAGCAACCCAACAATTGAAAACCTGCAAAATAGTATTGGGTCAATATCACCATATGGAGAAGGAAGGGGTCTTCCCAGATGAGTGTGTGCTATAACACCTTTATTCCATTTTGTACCTTTGTCTATTTCTGTTTGCTATTCTGTTTACCTTGCTAAGTTTGATGCTGACAGGACATGACTTTAGTGATAAATAGCTAACCAATTATCTTGCATGCTTCTTGAATCATGACTTTCCCTCTGGAAGAAGATTCCGTTGTCTGCAGAACTCCGTTTTTCCCTACAGAAGATGATAATCAAACTTTGCTGGTAGCATAGATTAGTGTGCTGATCTTTAGATTAAGTGTTAAGTTTTCAGGGTACTTACTCATACATTCCAAGACATGTTTAAGGTAAGGAATAGTACCAGAATCACTACAGTTCATAATGGGGGTTTTTATATCAAGTTATGCCCACTGCATTGATGCCGTGATCTCCAGAAATAAACCAAAGAAAAAGTTCAGATTGGCACCCATCATTGCAGCATCTCCGTCAGAGCATTGGGCTCTATCCACTCCAGTGCTACTGTAATTATTTTATTTTTATTGTTGTTGCTGATGCCAAAAATAGGTTAGGGGCGGGTAGCAGAAAAATTTGCACAGGAGGCCAGCTCAAGGTCAACCGCCCCCAACTCGTTTTAGTCTTTTCTCATAGGACATTATTTTGATTGCCCTCTTACATGCTCTTTCTGGCTCCATATCATTCTTTAAATTGTGGTCAGAAGAACACACAATAATTCCTACTATGGGTTCAGTATAATTTTATTGAATTACAGAACACCTCACAATACCCCTAGTTAAGTTTGAAGAATGAAGCACTGGGTCTGGAATTCTTATTGCGCTGTAGCCTTTTTAGCTTCGGGTGAGAAGAGCTTTGAGCCCGGGACGGGGAAATGGGAGTCAAACGACACCAAAGGGATAAATCAGAGAAAAAGCTTTATTCTGCCATCCGGGGTGGCAGAAGGCACCTGCATGATAAATTCACAAAGCAAGTACTGAAGGAAGATGAGGACAGGTGACCCCACCTAGGCCCAAAGTCCCCCCCCCAACCAGGCCTCAAACTGTCCAAAATTCCTTTTGTCTTCTAAAAATCCAAAACAGCTTTTCTCTGCTCTTCTCTGCTTTTCTCACAAGATGCTGTGGCAAGGGCAAACCGTTACTTTTTATCAGTACAAGAATGCTTCAAAAAGCTAATGAATAGACCCTGTCAGAGCAGGCCTGAGACTGACTTTTATCTCACTCTAGTTGCAACATCTTTGGACATGCTGAACTACTCTCATTCCCCCTTTCCTGGGAAGGGTGCCAAGAGGCCACAATAGTCCCAAGACAGCTTTCTGTACAGGCTCAGGAACCTCAACATGGGGCAGGACTCTGGAAGAAGGAGGAGAAAGGAGGAGGGAACTGGAAGGGGTATATATGCTTGTGCACATGATTGTGAACTCGTGCATGCTTTTTGTGACTTATCACACTTGCTCCTTCTACCAGTTCATGGATGGTAGAAATAAAAAGCCTTTTCTCCAAAACTATTCCTTGAGTGTCTGTTGACTCCCACTTCCCTTTCCCAGGCGCAATATTTTTCCCACCCGAGGGCAAAGCCTCATAAGGCTACAGTACAAGTTCACAGCCATTTGCACAGAGCATATATTCCCCTCCAGTTCCCTCCCCTTTCTCCTCCTCAGGAGCCCTGCCCCATGTTGAGTTTCCTGAGCATGAACAAAAAGCTCCTGTCTTGGGACTCTTTTGGACTCTTGGCACCCTTCCCAGGAAAGGGGATGAGAAGCCAAGGGGGGTCGAGGAGCCTTGCGGTTCAGTGTGTCCAAGATGTGTTACAACCGAATGAGATAAGAGTCGGTTCCCAGGCCTGAGTATTCTTGGCATTGACAGAGTCTATTCATTAGCCTTTCTGAAGCTCTCTCGTATTGATAAAAGTAACGGTTTGCCTATGCAACAGCATCTTGTGAGAAAAGCAGAGGAAAACTTTAGCTGTGGATTTTTAGAAGAGAGAAAGGGAATTTTGGACAGTTTTGAGGCTTGGTTGGGGGGTGACTTTGGGCCTAGGTGGGGTCACCTGTCCTCACCTCCTTCAGTGCTAATTAATAGATCTAAAAACATGCATTGATTTCCTTTGAGGTGTGGCAACCATTTCCGCCAAAAGAAATCTTTGAGCTGGCTTGTAAGAAGCAACAGTGCATTGAAGCTTACTAAGGCTATGCTCACATATAACACTAAGCCACAATTTGTATAATGTGCAAATAGTACAATGCAAAGTCATATACACAAGAAGCCCTGAGTGAACCACCAGCTGTCCTTTTCCCATAGTTTGTTTTGTTTTCCAGCAGCTCTTGCCTCATGCCTTTGTAAGGATTAGTTTTCCAGGTCTGTGACCATATAATAAAACTTACTGCTGCTGAATCTGATGAGCATCTGGGATGGGATGGTTAAAAAAATCATGGGTAAGGAAGGATTCTGGGTTCACCTGTAAGACTAAGCCATAGTGAAGACAAACCAAGATTTATAAGATAATAGCAGACCATGGATCGAGACTGTGGTTTGTTAGCAGTAAACAAACCACAGTTAAACAGCACTACGTGTGAACCAGGCCCAAGTTAACAAGTTATAACAGTGCGTCAGTTTGACCAAGGGCTGTAGGCACATGCCCATTGGCCATGTGCACAGGCACTCCAGGTTGGAAAAAAAGGTGCTTGGCTTTGTGCTGATGCTCAGGGTGGCCCTGCAAGATGGTGCTGAGAACAAGTTCTTGTATTCCAGGTCCCCCATCATGTGGTCAGGCTCTCACTCATTCAAAAGGTCATAAGCGATGAGTTGGTTCACAATCGCTGCAAAAAAAAAAGGCAAGCTGGTTTTCAGAATGGAGTTAATAAAAGTGTAATATTTTAATCGTTAACACTTCACCTTTGGGTGGCTGCTGAAATGGAGATTGCATTTTTGTGAATGAGTTACTTATCAATTACTTTTGCAGAACTGCAAGTTAAAGCAACACTGTAAAGTCGTAAGGGGTGAAACTTGATAGAGACAAGTTCCATGAGGATTGGTTACCCTTTTATTTCCTTTATTAATTCTTACCCAGGGGGAAACTACCACCACCATGGTTGCTTATTGTTGTGTTGTTTTGGAGGGGCCTGGTGTCTTAATTCTAGGTGTATTGCCTCTAGTATTTTTTTGTTAACACAGTTAGTTTTCAGACGTATAATGCATTTGTCTTAGACCATTGCAGGGCACACAGGTAGGTCCTGTTGTTTTGCCTGCTTGTTTGCTTTTTTACTGAGTGGGGACATGTTGCTTGCTTTTTGTTTCCCTTTTCTGTATGCTATTGTTGTCTGGTGCTTATTTGATAGTATAGACAATTCTCATCTTGCATGGGGGTTACATTTCGGGGATAGCACATAAAGCAAAAATTGTGTATAGTCAAAACACACTGCATTCAATGGCAAGTGGGATTGCCAAAGTCTTTTTTCCTGAACTCCCCCCCCCCCTGTTTGTTTGTTTGTTTGTTTGTTTGTTTGTTTGCCATGTGCTTAAAGCTGAATACGGGCAAGTTAAATGTGCATAAGTTGCGAGTTACCTTTTTTTTAAGAAAAGAAAAAAATGGAACATTCCAAATAGTGAGGCCAAACAAGGGGAGGGCAGGGAGAGGCTACCTATGCCACTTTTGCTTGTGGAAGGAGAGGGTATGATTATTTGGATCCCTTTAGCCACCATGCCCACAGCTCTGGTCCCCAAGGCCTGCTACAGGCCAGGTCACTGGTACCTTCAGCAGTTGGCCGCTGGGAAGGGTCGAAATCCCGGCATTTGTTGATGACGTCCCGCAGATGTGGGGGGCAGTCGTGTCCCAGAGGTTCTTGCTCCTGATTGCAAACCTTATCACGGATCTCCTTTGCAGTGCAACCTGAGTTAATAATCACAGGAGACTCAGCTACACAGCTACAATTATAATGTTATAAGTGCGCTATAAAAATGTGACACCAGATGGGGCTGTAGAGCTGCAATCCGAAGTCAATGGCAAATTGCATTGGGAGCTCTCTCTATATAGAGAGAGTGTGTTTTTCTCCCATAGCATTTTTTTATATCTGTGTAGATCCAGCCAGGGATAGGAATCTGGGCCTGGGTGGCTCCATGTGGACACACAGAGATATATACAACCCTACTCCTTGCTCCTAGGCCCCAATGAACACTGACTGCAAAGGCAGGGACCAAAACTGTTAAGAAAGGCTGCTGCGGGAGGGCATTCAAGTTTCAAAGAAGTGATGGGGTAAGTACATAAGCAGTCCCCTGCCAGCCCCCGTTCTGCTCCAATCCTTTCCACACATCCACTGGGATCTAGATGTGTATCTTCCCTTGTCTGGGATTTCATAAGAAGACAAGCAGCTGGGGAAGAGAGTTGCAGTGGAAAAGCAGGTCAGGAAATGATACAGAACCACACAGAGACCTGTGCTCTAGTGGTGACTCTTTGAATGCGTGGCTGGAAGCAGCCGTGTCCTCCCAGCAGCAACAGCACTGTGTTAATCTTCATGAGGATGGGGCAAAGCAAGGCGACTCCAGGTTGGCGCCAGTGGCTTCCCAGCTCTCTTGGTGCCACATCGTCCCACCCATCCCAACAAGCACAGTGCCACTGCCTGCCTCCTGTCTCCTCCACCAACATAAAAGGGGCATTCTGACTAATGTACATGCAAAGGTTTAGAGTCCTACTTCCTCAAGATAGTAGCAGGATGGACACATGGCTCAGTAAGGGATGTGGGAGAAATTCAGTTTGCTTAGGATTTTAGGGCTGGAGCCAACTGAGTTCTACTCAAAGTAGACCTATTGACATTAATAAACCTGTTAGTCATGTCCATTCATCTCAAAGAGTCTACGCAGACTAAAACTGACATAACCATCCTTTGAAATTAACACCTCTCTGAATTTTTTGATGCAGTTCTACAACCGAATGCTGTGTACAAAAAAACCATGGAATTGTAGAGTTGGAAGGTACCTCAAGGGTCATCTAGTCCAAACCCATGCAATGCAGGAATCTCAGCTAAAGCATCCATGACAAATGACCATCTAACCTCTGCTTTAAAACCTCCAAGGAAGGAGAGGAAAGTGAAGGAAATGTGTGAGGAAAGTGTATAAAATTCATTTATTAGTGAAAATGTATTGGGGGGGGATGCTTGCAAAAATGTGTATACTGGGCAAAAATGCATACAAAATGTGTATACTGTGAACCGAAATGCTGATGGGTTTTCATGAGGACTTTTAAAAGAAAGAAAAAAGCACAGTGATGCAGAAATGTGAACTGAACTCGGGGGGTGGGGTGGAAATAGATAGTGAGAGAAGCAGGAACTCACATATTCATCTATCTCTAGGCTCAGCTCACCACAGAGGGTTTCACTGAATTTGAACCAAGTCCATAGCTGACTTAAAATCAATGGAAGTAAGAGAAAAACCTACTGCCAGGAAATGAGGTATGTATCTCTCTCTGCAATGTGGGCTAATACACTGCAACAAATAATACACTGACCTGCTCTGAGATGAATCTGTTTCTCCCCTGGGAGATGGTTGTCTTCAACCCAAGTCGGAAGCTTGGATTAAAAACCCGGCACATTACTTCTCTATAACTGAAAGGAGGCTGCTAAAATTAATCCTGCTAAGTCTATCTACTTTTTCTTTGAGCTTTTTAAACAGGGTTATTATAGCTTTAATCCAAATATAATCCAAGAACTGAAAGTACAGTAATAGGTGCTCAGCACTTTAGGATAGATTTTAACTGACCAGGTAGGATAGAGGAGGAGCCTGGGGCTTTACCAGATTGAAGCTGAGCAGTTGCATCTATTTCACCAGGAATTACACTTTGCCAGTCTGTAATATTTGCATGTAAAGGGAAGTGCAAGGAATCTCGGACGGCTTCTGAAAAACAGCCCCCCTCCCCTAGCAGCAGCGGATTGTAGTCTCAGTTGCGCTCCTAAATCTGCAGAGCTGCCTGCTGATCCTTTCCCAAAAGAACCGAGCCCAACCCTGCCCCCATCCATGCCTCACCTTCAAATGGGATCTTGCAAGTTGCGATCTCCCACAAGACAATCCCAAAGCTGAAACGAAGCAAACACGTCTGTGGTGTGAATGGAATGATATGCTTGACCTGTACCCCCAAGGCTATGGCCGGCAGATGGCAGGTGGGCTCTTTGCCTGCTTTCAGCCATGCCTAGGGAATGCTATGTCACAGAAACTCCACAGCTGGAAGGTAGCAAAGTTCACCAGGTCAGCCGCTCTTCATGGAGGCAGGGCTGGCCCAGGACGCTTTGCTGCGAAAGGGGAAACAGAAAATGCAACATGCACCACGCCATCTGCTCCTCCTCCAATGCACACCCAGCACTGCTCACCCCTATGGGTGGGCAGTGGAGAAGATTCTGCTGCCCCTCCCAGCTGTCCAGAGCCGGCTGCCTTGAGGCCACTGCCTCACCTCGCCTCATGAGGCGGCCAGTCCTGCATGGAGGCTTATCCATTTCCAGGTGGACAGGAAGATCCTTCCACCTGCCTTGACCCCCCCCCCCCGGCCCTAGGAGTCCTCATAAGGGAGCCAGTCCTGGAGGAAGAACTGTGAGGGGAGAGACTTCGTCAGGGAAGGCCTCCTTCCACCTGCCTTGCTCCACCCTCTAGTCTCTGCTTCTCAATTTGTGTTGTATTATTTTATGTACTGTGGCTTGCTGTTGTTTTACTGATTATAGTTATTTATTGTAACTGTTGAGTAGATTTCTGTTTAACTTTTATATGTTGATATTCTTATTTTATACTATTCTAATGATTGTTAAATATTACTTTTGTGATGAAGGTTGCTTATTTTAAAGTTTTGTTTTATTATCATATTTTTGTATTGCATTAGATCAGGCTTCCTCAACCTCGGCCCTCCAGATGTTTTGAGACTACAGTTCCCATCATCCCTGACCACTGGTCCTGCTAGCTAGGGATCATGGGAGTTGTAGGCCAAAAACATCTGGAGGGCCGAGGTTGAGGAAGCCTGCATTAGATTGTTATAAGATGTACATTTTTTGTTTCTTCAGCTTGTAAACCGCCTTCGAGTATTGTAAAATAGAAAGACGGTATACAAATTAAAAATGATGATGATGATGATACCAAGGGACATGGTGAAGGCCTTTTTCCAGAGGAAACAGTGGACAAAATGTCAACCCCGCTGGCTGTTCTGGAATTTGGTAGAAAGCAGCAGACTGGCTGGTAGCTCCCCAGCTTGACTTTCCCATCTCCCTAGTGATGGTTCTGTGAAACAGCACATGCATCACTGGCATCGCTGTGCATGGCACGTCCCCTCCCCTCCGCAAGAGGCAGCCAGCAAATAAGAGTAGGAGGCAGGCCAGCTGCAGGGTGGTGGTTGCTGTTTTGCTGGGGGCGGAGAGCAGGCAAGAAGCCATTAGAGGTAGCCCCACTTCCAGTGCTGGATTACCCAACAGGCAAACTAAGCACATGCTTAGGGGGTGCCAAAAATATGAGTTGGGTTTTTTAAAAGGAATTTCACATTTGAGAAGAAGCATCATAGGGAAAATCAGAACTTCGATATCCTTTCTTACACTCCACTCCATACACTTCCCCCATTCTTCTTCCCTCTTTTAATTACTTGTCCCCACCTAAATGAAATAATATTTGGGGCTCTCTAGGATTCTGTCCCACCTCCACCCTCTTTCCAGCTGCTCAGAGAGGGCAGGTGAACTGGCAGCGACAGCAAGGGGAAGAGAAGCAGGGCCAGGAAGCTCCAGGAGGTGGCAGTGGTGCCCCTGCAGGAACTCAGACCTTGGCAGGTGCCCAACAACACCAGCCCTTGATGCCAGTGCAGAAGTAATTAAAAACTTTATGATGCCATGACATGCATCTCATTTAATTAACACATGCAGGAGACATGGGCTGGTTCTGCCCACCCAGCCCATGAGTTGTCCATAAGTTGTGGTCCTCTGAGGATGCTAAGTACCTCCACAGACTGGCCAGCTGCCTTTGACCTTCCCTCACTTAGCAGCAGTCAGTCCATCCTTCAAACTGTTTCCACCCTAACAGGTGCCTGAGCTTGCTTTCTTTCCTCATCCCACCCCACCCCTTTTTCCTTTTGTGTTATGTATTTTAGAGTATAAGCCTGCAGGCAGGGGTTGCCTTACTATGGGATTTTGTAAAGCAGCTTCTTTGGCTAAATAATGGAATGAAGATGCCCCTGATAAATAAAAATGGGGTGTGGCAGTACTTTGCGATAAAATACCTGTATATTTCGCTGGCCAGGTTGTATTGATGCTCCACTGACCGCAGGCCCTCGGGGCAGATGTAGGCTGAAGCACTGACCTCTTTTTTGGGTTTCTCCTTGGGCTTCCGTCTGATGGAAGAGACCGTCTGACTCAGTTCAAACCCAGAGAGCTGAGAAGAGCAGAGAGAATGTTGTGTGATCAGGAAAATGGGGTTAAGGCTAAACGTTGAAGAGAGCATCCTGACAGGACGAGCTGTTTTGAGGAAGAGTGTGCCTCAGAAGGGGGTGGCTGGATAGCTGCTTACCAGGGAGGCTGGTACCCACAGAAGTAGTGGGTTGGAATAGATGACCTTTGGGGGACCCTCCAAATTCTATGACTCTAGCTCTGTAGCCAAGGGTCAGGAATGCAACACACACACACACACACCTAGAGATACAGACATTTGAAGGTGGGTATGGAATATATTGGGCAGACCTGTCCAATAATCAGCCCCTCCCTGCAGGTCTCCAGTTTCCAGACTTCCTTAGAGGGTGAAAATGATCCTTAAGCCACTGAAAGTGTGCAAGGCAGATATGCCTTTCTAAGCCTTCTTTGAAGCCACGACACCTTTACACAGCTCTCACCTTTACACAGTAGCTTTTGTCAACCAGGAACCTGGTGCTGTTGATGCAGTAATGCACCTGAGGCTTGTCCCCCGTCTGATGCAACCTGCAGTCAAAAAGAGCCAAGAAGGGGAGGAGAAAGCCAACACTCTGTGTACCTGACCTCCAGGCAGCAGAGTCACTGCCACTTATTGGAGGGAGAGTGGGAGGGTGCTGTGCAAACACAACGGCAGAGCCCTTTCTCCCTTCTAGCCAGGCTCAGTGTACCTGTACAGGCCGATGGCAGCATCCTTTGCCATTTCCAAGCGGATCTTCCATTCTAAGTGAGGCTCCTTTTTCAGCACTTGCCTCAGGGTACCCTTTTCACAATATTCTGTGATGATGGAGTATTCAGGAGGGAAGCCTATGGCAAAGAAGACAACTGATGAATTGCTGCTCCATTTCAGTCGGTGGCTGTCCTTGTCTTTTGTGCTCTGCTACCAAACAGTTTTCAGCTCCTTGACACATTCATGAAAACAGAGTGGAGAGCACATATTCCTGGTCAGGAGAGGATAAGTGGAAGACCTGGTGCTATTTGAAATAAAACTTTGCTCCTGTGAAGTTGAGGGTGAGGCACAGCACTGCACCAAAAGCATGTATGAATACAATGGACAGAACTATAACGTTTCTTGGTTCAATATCTGGCTGTGTATTCTTTCTTCTGTTTCATTTATTTATAAAATATATTTTAGAAACTGCTATTTCGTGAAAAATATCAAAGCAGTTTACAACAACAAGAATACATAAAACCATACAGTAAAAACTACATAAAGTAAGTTAAATACAGACATGCATTAACTACTGTGGAAGGATGAATTCTTACCTCCCCCCTCCCCCACAAACACACATATACACACAAAGAGCAAAGGTCTTACCACTCTCATCTATGCACATCCCATACAGACGGACAATGTGGGGAGACTCAAACTTCTTCATGGTCTTGATTTCGGTCCAAAAGATGCTCCTCACATCCCTGGAGGAAACAACAGAAAGATCAGTCTCTGTGATGGAGCCAAAAGTCTCTCCATCAGTTCCCTCTGTGAGGGTGGTTAGGTTAGCTTTGCAATATAGAGGTGGCCACTTGTACCCATCACTCAAGAAGAGGACCAAAGAGAGGCACTCACTGGGGTTTGTTCTCATTCAAAGGGTTCTTGAAGACTTTGATGGCCACAGAGCAATAATTGTACTCTCCACTGCACAGGGTGTAGCTCTCAGACTCCGCCAGGGTGGTCACATTGGTGATCTGGCTTTTGGGTATTTCAGTGATTTCCATGGAAGCAGCAGCATCCTGGCCTGGAGAGAAAGGAAGGGGGTTAGAAAGAAGCCCATGGAAACAAATCAGAATAGGGAGGGAGGCCCGCAGTCACTTGGAGATCCCCAAATGGTGAGCTGGCAATATTCAAGTTTCAGTACAGTATTTCAGAAGAAAAGAAACTGCACCAACAGCTGGTACTTCCAGGAGGGCTGGGGAGGAAAGACTTGCCATCATTGTTTTCCCCAACATTTGCCTTTTGCTGCTGTCAGCCTCCTCTGGAGGAGAGATGTTTGAGCCAGCTGTGTGTCATCTACCCCTCCCCTTTGAACTGTATTTAAGCCAGGCTCCTTGGAGTGCAGCAAGACCAGTACCAGAACCTTCATTGTGTACCTCCACCCCCATCATTCAACCCGGACACTGAAATCCAGTTCTGAGGGGCCTTCTGGTGGTTCCCTCATTGCAAGAAGTGAGGGCACAGGGAAACAGGCAGAGGGCCTTCTCAGCAGTCGCACCCACCCTGTGGCATGCCCTCCCATCTATAAAGGATCATGCGGTGGGCCTTCGAATGCGTGTTCATTTCTAATGTTGGTTAACGAGCCAGAATAATAAGCTTTGAAGCTGAAGTGGTGTAGGAATAAAGGACAGTTGTGGCTTTGAGAAGCTTGCCTGATCTGGTTGCACGCTTTGCTCTGAAATTGGCTCGGAAATGTGTCTGGGCCTCCTGCTCTCTAATGAAGGCAAGTACATTTGGCCCCCATAACTGAGAGATTAGCCTGGGAATGATTTTAAGACACTCACTTCAAAAGCTGCTTCTTGGGAGCTTGGAAGGTGTCGGGGAAAACAAGGTATGTGAGTTATCTCTATATCTTGCCAGGTACTTCTGGTTCCAAAAGGTTTCAATGGAAAAGCTCAGAAACTGCAGCACTAGAAGGGGCTCAAACCCAGAATCTTTTGCAGTGAGCCTTAGATCTTCTGCTACTTTCCGGCCTTTTTAATCATTAAAAAAAAAACGGTTACAAGGTGGCTGAGTGTGTTAACAAGGTCCAGTGTTGGTGAGAATCCAGCTACCTGCCATCTTAATTTGTGCTCTGAGTCTTTTGAGTTCCTAGCAAGGCCCCAACAAAGCAACACTCCTTCAGAGCACAGCAATGAAGTGATAATGAGCCAAATGTATTTCCTTGTTCTTGGGGTACAGGGTGGCCACAGAGCACAGCGTAAGGTTGTGGTTATCCCAAGGGGGGGGGGAGATCTACTGTATACACTGAAACACCCAGAAGCCAGTGGGGCACCTAGGTGACTTTTGACGCCTGAATTAGGCCACATTCACCATGCATTTTAGTTGTGGCTTCCCCCAAAGAATCCCAGGAGCTGTGGTTTGTTAAGGGTGCTGAGAGATGTTAGGAGGCCTTTGTTCCCCTCACAAAACTACAAACTACAATTTCCCAAGTTCAGTGGGAAGAAGGATTGATTGTTAAACCACTCTGAACTGTAACTGTGAGGGAACTGGGGGGAGGGGGCTCCCAAGAACTCTCTGCATCTTTAACAAACAACACTTCCCATAATTCTTAGGGGAGAAGCAGGTCCTGAGTCTAAAAAGGTTGAAGACTAGTGACTTAAATCATGCCGCCACTCAAATATCCCTCCCTAAGGACAAGCCCCTGGCTGGTGGCTGCCACCATCGCTGTCCCCCCCCCCCCGCCAATGCTGGTCTGTTTGTTCCCTTCCCCACTCCACTGTTCTCAAAGGCAGAGGATCGGGAGCACCTTTGTTCATCTCCTTCAAAGATACACAGTCCTCGGCAAGATCCTGGCTGCCTTCCTGACCCACAAGACGCTTCTCAAATTTCAAGAGGTCTTGACGGTCATCTAATAGCTTCTCGATCTCTAGTTCCATCATCAGGGCAAGACCGACATCGCTGATGTCCATGTTCATTCTTTCAAAGTCCTTCAGCATTCTGCCAGCCTTCCTGAACCGCTGCAACTGGGACATGTCACCATACTCGCAAAGCTTTGTCTGGGCCTTTTCCAGGACGTCCAGCGTCTGTTTCAGCATCGATACCAGGTCATCGGAGAAGCTGGTGCAGACCTGGTGCAAGCGCTTGATCTGCCGCCGGAGGGTCTTAATGCGCTCAACAAGGCGCTCTCTGTGCTTATTGCACTCCGTCATTTTCTCACATTGGTTAAAAATGGTGACTGAAACTTTCAGAATGGCCTGGATGGTATCCATAACTGTGGGAAAGGAAGGACATGGTGAGCAAAGCAGAACACAGGTAGAAAATGCCGTGCATGCTTCCCTCGGGATTTGCTGGGCAACACAACACAGCTCGTGATCACCACCATCCAGTGGAGACTTGCATGTTGAAAGTGTCTGTATTATATAAAGTGCAATGATACCACTTTAAACAGACTTGGCTTCCCCCAAAGAATTCTGGGTACTGTAGTTTGTTAAGGGTGCTCCTGAGTGTTGTTAGGAGGCCTCTATTCCCTGCCCCAGAGCTACAGTTCCCAGAGTTCCCTGGGAAGAGGGATTGACTGTTCAATCAATCATCTACTTCCCAGATTAGTTTAAGTGTAAACCCTACACAAATTCGGAGTGGAGTGCCTAAGACAGTTGGATGTTGCCTTGTACACCTCCTGGCAATTCCTGTAGCCAAGCAGGTGCCAGATGTGTTGCTTTCCTTTCCTTTAGACCTCATCAGTGAGGCTGGGGGGGGGGTCTTGTTGTCTGGGCAGCCCAGGACTCCCATACACACTGCCCAGGCTTGAAAGCTGAGGTCACTTCAGAGCTGCTAACACAGTGGTTTGACTTCACTCCCGGAAGTGAACTCCATTGTCTCCTGAGATGGATGGATGCCAACAAAATAGCACTTTAAATGTACAGAGTGAATGTGGCCTTAAACCAGCTTGAGACCTGGGGCCAGCCCAAGGTATTTTGCTGGCTGAAGTGGCAACCACACCTCTCTCTTTTCCTGGACCTAAAAATACAACTCTGATAAATTAAATTACATGGCTCGACAACTTGCTGCCCATTCATGACAGCCAAGTTCTGCTGCCTGAAGCAGGCATCTTACCCTGCTTGATGGTTAGGGCCAGCCACATGATGGCTTCCAAACAGCAAACTGTGAAAACAGTTGCTGTCCAAGCCTTGTCAGAAAATCCCTTGCATCTTCACAAAACAGCAAGTTACCAGAATTCTTTAGCAAGAAGTTGAACTGGTTCCAAATTTAAATGTAGATGTGCCTTGTGGAGCTTTCTCTGCTCCTGCCCTATTTCCAGTTTACTTCGTTGTTAGACAATTGTACTCAACACATGCTCTGTACATGCTATCTGCATGGGCATTTCCTCATACAAACCTGCCTGGGCCCTGAGATCTTCAGGGAGGGCTATTCTCTCAGTCCTGCCACCCTCACAGGGATGCTTAGTGGGGACATGGGATAGGGCCTTATCAGTGGCTATTCCCAGACTCTAGAAAAGCTGGACTGGCTCCCTCTTTGCTGTCCATCCACCGGCAGGGGAAGATTTTCTTGTTCCAATTCCTTTAGGAATTGACTGATTTTAGATAGAGGGCTGGTGCCTTGCTGTTTCTTTGGTGATATTTTAAACAGATTTTATATGTGTATATAGTTTTAACTCTATCAATATTTAATTGTTTTTAAATGATTGATATTACTATGTTTTTATCTGTAAGCCACCTTGACTCCCATCAGGGGAAAAGGCAGGGTATAAATAAATATATTAATTATTATTATTATTATTATTATCATCATCATCCAAATAATATTTTTTAAAGGGTGGGGGACATGCTCTGGGGAATTCTCTTCTGCATACATTTTGAAGCTGAGCACTGTTCTAGGGTACCTATGTACATTACCATAACAATTAATAAAAAGAGACAAAAAATGTACACGTGGTGGTTTCTGGGAATAGATGCAACCACAATGGCATCTTCCCCGCAATTTGATCCAGACCTACCCTTTCCAGGAAGAAATTCAGTAAGGTGGTTTTTTGTTTTGTTTTTTAAAGTTAAACGTAAGCTTGGTGCCAAGGCCTCGTTTGCAAAATCTTTCAGTCAGCGGCATGGAAAAGTGGCACAGAGCTGCATTGAGCATCGCCATTACCCTCCTAAGTTGGCCCTCACACGCCTGGAAGCTCACAACAGACTACAGTGGTACCTCGGGTTACAGACACTTCAGCTTACATACGCTTCAGGTTACAGACTCCACTAACCCCGAAATAGTACCTCGGGTTAAGAACTTTGCTTCAGGATGAGAACAGAAATCGCGCGGTGGCAGCAGCAGGAGGCCCCATTAGCTAAAGTGGTACCTCAGGTTAGGAACAGTTTCAGGTTAAGAACGGACCTCCAGAATGAATTAAGTTCTTAACCCGAGATACTACTGTATCCCTCTTTGATTTCCACCTGATGGAATCTCATGGGGATTAACTGCAGTCCCCAACATGTGCTCCTGCATTTGTACAAAGCAGAGATCCAGCATGCCCCGAGGGGATGGGGAGGCCCATCCCCTTTCACCACCTGACAATGGGAATGTGTCACCCCCTGCCCCTCCCCATTTATACCACAAGCTGGAACATTCCCTCCCTCTCTTGCCAAACTCTGTGAGAGAAGCGAGTTCCACAAGGCGGCTGAAGCAATGTGGTGGGCAGGACGCTGCCTATTACGAGGCGGATGCTTCAGCCAGCCTCATCCGTGGACTGGCTTTACTTTAAATTCCCTTTTGCAGCCTGAGGCCAGATGCCATCCATGGTCAGAGTGAAATTCAGCTGCGGCCAGAGCATTGGGGAGAAGCAAAAAGCAGAAAGCAGTTAAAGATTTGCACACACTCAGCGGCTCTCCGCTTTAATTGCACACAGACACACACTCAGCCATGAAGCTCACTAGTTGACTTTGGGCCTATCACTGCCTCCCAGCCTAAGCTACCTCGCAGGGTTGTTGTAAGGATAAAATGGGGAGGAGGAGAACCATGTGCACCACACTGGAGGAAAAGGTGGTGGTATATAAATGCAAGGAACAAATAAAATAAAACAAATGCACTTCGTATGAATTCAGAAAGACCAGCACTTGGTCCACTAATCTCTCCTTCCCATCCCCTATTTTATTTTATTTTAAGTAATTTTTATTAAAGATTTTCTTGGCTTACAAAGGTACGTGCATTGTCTCTATTTTCAGTCCGTAGAGTCTTTTCTACTGATCAGTTACATACAGTGTGAGACATTAATGTTATATACAGCATAAGGTTGGGGAAGAAGAGGGGCGGGGGAGAGAGGGCTGGTGCTAAAACTAACTTTCTTTTACTTTGTGTATTGTGTGAGGTCTCCCACTCCCCTAAATATAGCCCCGAGTGCCCATTTCAGCCCTTGCAGGGGAGCAGGATTCCTTGCCCTCCTCGGCCCAACTCCTGCTTACCTGCTTATCGGTGGTCTCCGGATCCCCCCTTCCTTCTTGCCGTGCGATCAAGAGTTTGCTCCAACTCTTGCTGAACTCTCAGCTTCCCGTTTCCCAGAAGTTGGCTTCACTTCCTGTCGAAGGGGGATTGAGCACTTTAGGGAGGCGGGTGGGACACCTTCCCGTTGGTTGAGCTGCTGTTTTACTTTCAGTTCTCAAAAGGGGAAGGCCACGTGCTTTGGACACAGAAATTCAACTGACTTTATTTTATTGGAGAGATGTGTATACAGTGGTATCTCGGGTTAAGTACTTAATTCATTCTGGAGGTCTGTTCTTAACCTGAAACTGTTCTTAACCTGAAGCACCACTTTAGCTAATGGGGCCTCCTGCTGCCGCCGCGCCGTCGGAGCACGATTTCTGTTCTCATCCTGAAGCAAAGTTCTTAACCTGAAGCACTATTTCTGGGTTAGCGGAGTCTGTAACCTGAAGCGTATGTAACCTGAAGCGTATGTAACAGGAAATCTGTCACAAAGTGGTTACAATGTTTTCAAATGCAAACTTGTTTCCTAAAATCTTTTGAAGCAAAAATGTGTCCTTCCCAGACAGCTCGTTTATTAAGCTTCTGCCCTGGTGTGATATTCAGGTGTGATATTTGCAGGAGGTGGTTTGTTATGCAAGCGCTCCAAAGCAACTTTAATTGTGCAACCGGGATTTTCCAGGCTGTGGTTAATTCCCATCCCAAAATAGCAAAAGCCTTGAAGCCTACAAGTAGAAACAATAACGTCAAAACTACTAGCAGAAAGCAATACTGTCTTAGCCATACATTCTTATCATCATCATCAACAACATCATCATTATTATTACCATTGACGTGTTACCAGGCTTCTAAACCACCATCTCAAGGTGATTTACACACAAGGTGATAAAAAGCACTTAAAAACAACAACTAATACATTTAAAACAAGACTAAAACTCTGACAAACAGACACTTGTCGTAAAGATCCATCTATCAAGCTGGGAACACTTGTCAGAACAAAAATGCCTTCAGCCATTTCTAGAAAGTGCAAAGAGTGAGCTCCTGTCATAACTGGGCAGAAATGCTCTTGCACTGAACGGGAGCAGCCACACTGAAAGCCTTGCTCTGAGTTACTGCGGAGGGGGCTTCTGAGAAGTTTGGAACTTGCTGGAGAAACTCTCCCACAGACCACGGAGATCTACTGGGTGTACAAGGGGAAAGGCCATCTCTCAATACCCCCATACCCTGCTCATCAAAACTTTTTGAGAAAAGGTGGGTTTTTACAGCCTTCTTTTAAAATGTGAGAAATAGGCAGTGGAGGCTGGTCCTCAGTCAGTTAACCCATACCTGCCTCCCTACCTCCTTAAAATCAGTCCAGGGGATTTCAGGCCTTCGTTTTCAGCTTCCTCCTTCTCATCATTCGCAGTGTTCCCCTTCTAAAACTCAGCCAGCAGGGAAAAGAAAGAATTAGTTGGCTCTGCCTGTCATTGGTTTCCCTGCCTTCTACCCTACCCAATGGCCATTAACTACAATGGCAAATGAGGCCTGCCCAATGCCCACAAGAATGGCATGGCATACTAGTGGGGCCACCAGAGAGAAGGCCCCATTATGCCTACTCACCAGTCTATTCACCTTTACCTGCAGGCTCTGAAGCAGGCAACCCCTCTGAGCTACATCTTATGGAAACCCACAAGACTATATATGGGCACAGGAGGTCCTTTAAGTGAGAGATGCTCAGACGTCCGACATTTTATGTACATTTTTCCTTAGGAGGTATGCTTCCGTACACCTTACTCAGTGGAACAGCTGCACTGCAAAATTCAGAGATGTGTGAATTTTGAAGGACGGCTCTGTGTTTCATGGGGGTGCCTGTCCCCATGGTGTGGGGACCTGTCAGATACTACAATCCACCAACAGTAGTGGTAATCTTAATAGGGGGTGTGACACTTCATATAGGGTTAGCTGTCTGTGCTCCTAACAGTCCTTTGTCAAACTCTCTCAATTTGACAAATGTTATTAGGGAAGCTGCCTTTGGCCTCGGTGTTTTAGCAGGAGCCCCCCAGGAATGGTTTCAGTTCTTGATTCTGTAGTCAGGGGGTGTTGTACTGTAATTTCAACCCCCTTTGCCACAACCAATTGACCTAATAACAGTACTTACAAAGAGTCACCACAAGGTGGTGGTGGTATTCTATGTACATGGCTTTACAATGCAACCGGGACACCTAGAGATACCATCACATCCTAATCTCTCCTAGCTGGTGAAACATACTTGCAGACACCACTAAAAACGCAGGTATAAATAAAGTTCACTCAACAGGAGTCAGAGAAAAGGCAGAAAACAAAGGTTTACACTACTCCCCAAACAAATGCCTTGTCCAGAAGCAGTTAGGGTGAACTTTGACACAGGGGAATTTACTTTGGGGTATCTGCCCCTAGTGCAGGTGCCTGCCTGCTTAGGACTGGTTTGTCCTTTCCCAGCGCTACTCCTTGTGTGAGAGGTGGGTGGCTGGGCAAACTGCATCCTCCAAATGACAGGCTTTGGACATGCTTCAGGGACACACACAGGTTGGGTCACCCCAGTCTTCATTTGAGCTGGAGCTCAGCTCTAGATCCCACGTAGAGTCCCAGGGTCAAAGGTGAAGTTGTGCAAAAGAAACGGAAGAGAGTATTTAAGAGGTATTGATTAGGTGTGGCCTTGAGATGAAAAAGAAAAACTCCCTTCTTATCATGTGGCACTTCCAGGAAGAACTGACGCCTGCTCTACACAAACACTTGAAAACACTAAATCAGCAACCTGTTTTCCTGCAAATCCTTCGCTCTACAGTTCCCATCAGTCCCAGGCATCCCAGCAGAAGGGTATCAGGTTGGCATAGACAGCACTAAATCATTCTATGCATGCTCTGTATTTCCTCTTCTTTTCATTCACTCTTCCACTCCATCTTAAGAATTTTGGTAATGACAGACATCTATCTTAAGTGTTTTTTGACCATAGATTATTCCAGCCTACCTCCTCAATTTCCCAACCCCATTCTATTCCACAGCCCCACTTTGCACCCCTATCTCACCCCCATGTCCATGCCTCCTCTCCTCTTCTCTTGTAGTACCCCCCCTTGCGCAGAAACCACCCCATGGTAATATCCTACATCTACCTCCTCCCACACATTGCTCTCTCTCTCTCTCTCTCTCTCTCTCTCTCTCTCTCTCTCTCTGTGTGTGTGTGTGTGTAGAAAGCATCCTACTGCACAAAGGTACCATTTGCCCCACCCACTTTTGCTTCTGGCCCCTCCCTCCACTGGCATGTGGCCCCCAGAAGGTTGCACATAATGGAATGTGGCCCTCAGGCTGCAAAAGTTCCCCCACTTCTTCCCTACTATTAATTTTTGGGTTCTTGTTTTAATTTGAGGGCCTTTTCCCTCCTATGCCTCATTCTACAACTTTGCCCAGTCACTGCTCCATCTTGCGCCTCGGCGTAGGCCGAGATGCCGAATCTCAGCAAGTTCTGTGTAAAATAAGCTGCTTGAGCAAAATTAAAGAGCCAACAAACTGGTTTTGCATGTATACAAAATTTTATGCATGTACGTATATAAATTGTTATGGACTGTGTCAAAAGACAGGCACTGGTGTTGGGGAACAACCTGCCCTCTGCATATATAAGGACAGGCTTGTTTCCAGAAAGGTGCTTAAAGTAGCACAGACCAAAGATGACCAGGAGGAGATATTTAATATGGGGCGGAAGAGGGATGGGCTGCCCACCTCCTGGAGGGCTCAATTCTCTTGGGGCAAGCCGATTTATCAGGAATCATATCCTGCATGCCAGCCATGGACAGTACCAAAGATCAAAGTGCTCTGGATTCATTGACCTGGAATAAAGCCCATCCCGCTTCAATTTTCACCATGGCTACCACAGTTTATGGGACGTGGGTGGCGCTGTGGGTTAAACCACAGAGCCTAGGACTTGCTAATCGAAAGGTGGGCAGTTTGAATCCCTGTGACTGGGTGAGCTCCTGTTGCTCGATCCCTGCTCCTGCCAACCTAGCAGTTCGAAAGCACATCAAAGTGCAAGTAGATAAATAGGTACCACTCCAGCAGGAAGGGAAACGGTGTTTCTGTGTGCTCTGGTTCGCCAGAAGCGGCTTAGTCATGCTGGCCACATGACGCCAGCTGGACGCCAGCTCCCTCGGCCAATAAAGCAAGATAAGCGCTGCAACCCCAGAGTCGGTCATGACTGGAGCTAATGGTCAGGGGTCCCTTTACCTTTACCACAGATTAGAATTCCCAGTCCTATGCAACTCCACTGTGTTGGATGGTCTTACTCTCAAGGTTTTTAAACTAGCTACCATTGTAGAAAGCAAATGGAGTTTTTGTGTGTGTGCTGTTTATTTATCGATTTGATTTCTATCCCCTCTTCTTTCCTCCAAGGAACTCAAGGAGGCAGCACCCATTGGTTTTCCTCTCCCCCTTTGAATCCCCCAAACAACCCTGTGAGGTAGGCTAGGCAAAGAGACAGCGACTGTCCCAGTGAGCTGAGGAGGGATTTGAAGCCTGATCTTGCAGGTCCTCTGCACCAATGTGGCAAAAGCCTACCAGTTTATTCTCTGGTTGCTTGGGGGGGCCCCAAAGGATTCCTCTCCCCTCAAATCATACAACTAGGTGCTTTTTTTTAAAGAAAAAAGAAACTGTTTTTTTGTCTGAAGAAACTTCTTCCACTACATCCAAAGTGGCGGGGTGGGGGGGTGGGTGGGTGGGTTAAATGAGGAAACAAACATGGGATGGGATGGGAAGCTGAGCAGGGGAGCCACTTCTCAAACAGCGGCTGATGCTTCAACCAGTAAGGGCTGCTTTGCCTTCCATAAAGACTAAGGGGTGTGGAAGTCGGGTCTTTCTGTCATGGCTAAAGCAAACTTGTTCTACAGGTAATACAGATGTTTGGCCCATTTCAGCTGGGAAGGGTGTGTGGAGTGCTTGGAGGCACCTGAGGTTCTATCCAGAGCAAGCAAAGAGGTGGGCTGCCTCTGAGGACAGGGAAATCCCAGGACGCCATTTTCTTGATGCTTTAACCCAGTAGTTCTCAACCTGTGGGTCCCCAAATGTTGTTGGACTACAACTCCCATCATCCCTGAGCTCTGGCCTTGCTAGCTAGGGGTGATGGGAGTTGTAGTTCAACAACATCTGGGGACCCACAGGATGAGAAAGGCTGCTTTAACCCAAGCTTTGTCAACCTAGGGTCCTCCAAACATTTTGGGCTACAAAATAGAAGTGTAGGCTGCGGCTGATGGCAGCTGCTGCCCAAAACATCTGGAGGGCACCACGTTGGCGAAGGCTTCTTCAGTCATGTAGGGGGTTGGACCGGATGACCCCTTGGCTGTCTTCCAACACTACAGTTCTGGGATTGTATCACTGGCCTACCTGTTATTAAAAGCGCATTTTGCTTCCCAGAACCAACTACCACTTGTTGGCGGGAGGGGGGGTGCATTTGTCTCTGCACGCCTGGCACCACTTGTGTACTCCACTTGTTGGAGCAAAAGAGGCCAAGTGATGCACACTCAATAGGAACATAGGAAGCTGCCCTATAGAACGGCTAGTTCAGTATCGTCTGAACTTGGAGTCAGAAACATTCTTGAGCCTGAAGGCAGCATTCACTCTTGGCCAACATTCTAGGGGCCATAGGCAAAGCAAAGTAATGGATGCAACTCTTACCTTTGTTCAGGTGATTACATTCCAGGCGTCCAGGAACAAGAGGTTTACTCTCTCTCTCTCTCTCTCTCTCTCTCTCTCTCTCTCTCTCTCTCTCCTTCTAGGCAAGCAAGAGGCATTTCAGGATGGAGAGAGAAAAGCCAAACATGCTTCTGGTAGCAGGTTGCCCAGTGAGAGGCCAATGCCAGAGGGAGGCAACTTGAGAATGTATGAAAAGGGTTTCAGGCCAGGGACGTTCCCCACCCGACATGGAAGAGGAGTTGGGGGTTGAACCTGGGATCTTCTGCATGCAGAGCAGGTGTCCTACCGTGGGCCATGGCATGGGTAGGCAAACTAAGGCCCCGGGGCTGGATCTGGCCCAATCGTCTTCTAAATCCAGCCCGCGGACAGTCTGGGAATAAGCATGTATTTACATGAGTAGAATGTGTCTTTTTATTTAAAATAATCTCTGGGTTATTTGTGGGGCATAGGAATTTATTCATCCCCCCCAAAAAAATATAGTCCAACCCCCCACAAGGTCTGAGGGACCCCCTGCTGAAAATGTTTGCTGACCTCTGGGCTATGGCCTGCCCATAACCACCTGAGCCCAGCCTGCAACCCTGAGCAGGGGTGCAATGTCAGAAGTCACAGCTACCACCTCTGCCCTGGGGCCTCTGAGAAAAGGGAGATGAGAGGTGGCCAACAGTCCCCCTCCTACCCTCTTTGCTTGGGGCGACTGCAGCAGCTGGCCACTGCGACAGCCTCATGGCAAGCTGCTGCATGGCTCTCTTCTAGGTGATTCTGCTTCCAAAAGCTACAACAGACCCGCAACACGGCAGCCACAATTGCTCTGCTGCGCCTTCCCCTACCTCCCCTCTTCCAGAAGCAAATGACTCAAGCATGTTGCCGCCACACACGTCAACACTTCAAATGGTTTATTTTTTCAACATATACATCATATCTATGTACAATTATCTTACGTCTACAATTTTATATAACTTCATCCTTATTTATTTTTTTTAAAAAATCCTGCGGCAAACATGGAGGAAGGGCAAAGAGAAATCAGAAGGTTGGGTATAACCAAAAACAGCGACAAAATCCACAACCCAGTGGGCATCTCTTTGCAATTGCCTTTACTGAAAGGCCAAAACTCCAGGTTAGTCGAGGTTTGCATAAATTCTTTCAGGCAAAAGGGCAGGGTAGCATAGAAAAGCTGACACACCATTAAAATTGACCTGACCAAACACAGGTTTGGGAGTGGAGAGATGAAACAGTGGTGGAGAAGCCCACTTGTATTTGTGATTGTGGGCTGGAGAAGGGAAGCTGGTGGTGACCCCAGAACCTGAAGTCTTCCACAATCTAATTACTCAAGACTGGGACCCAGTAAGAGAGAGAGAGAGAGAGAGAGAGAGAGAGAGAGAGAGATCACCACAGACTCAGGGTGTGTTCATATTACTGACTTGTAATGTAGTGAGGTTCTTTCCCCTGTTCCCAGTGCATTAAGTAGCTTTACCACCCTCCAGATGTTCACATCAGCACAGCTTTGATTCCTTTGATGTCTTTAAAAGGTAAAGGTACCCCTGCCTGTACGGGCCAGTCTTGACAGACTCTAGGCGTGTGCGCTCATCTCACTCTAGAGGCCAGGAGCCAGCGCTGTCCGCAGACACTTCCGGGTCACGTGGCCAGCGTGACAAAGCTACTCTGGCGAGCCAGAGCCGCACACGGAAACGCCGTTTACCTTCCCGCTAGTAAGCGGTCCCTATTTATCTACTTGCACCCAGGGGTGCTTTCGAACTGCTAGGTTGGCAGGCGCTGGGACCAAGCAATGGGAGCGCACCCCGCCGCGGGGATTCGAACCGCTGACGATGCGATCGGCAAGTCCTAGGCACTGAGGTTTTACCCACAGCGCCACCCGCGCCCCGTATCATTGATGTCTTTACCCAATACAAAAGTGTTTGCACCTTGGCTAGAGACAAATTAACAACCATTTGTGGACTCCAACTGGTATGAAGCCGGTTTGACAAACAACACATTGAACAGAAGTATCTTATATCTGGATGCGTAATATGCTTTGGATAATGCAGGGCAAACAGATTAAGAACACCTCGCCCTTGAAACCCAACAAGTGCACAGTAAGCACTTGGAATGTGAACATTGCCTGGAAGGAGGAAGGGGTGTAATCTGCAGAGGCCTTGTAAGGACAGCTGCGCGTTGCCTTGGAAAAGCCATAATGGCTTAACAGATGCTGCTGGGTTTGGAGTTTGCCCTCTTATGGGGATGGTGGAATCTCACCGGAGAGTTGGGGATCTAGAGGCCTAATATGGCTCAGGATACCTAAAGGACCACCTTCCCCCATATGAACTTGTCCAGAACATGACACCGTAAGTCTAAAGTCCTTCTCTGTGTCCTCCTTTCCAAGGACGCTCCAGACAGTGGCAGTCAGGGAGAGAGCAAAGCTTTGTCCTGCAGTAGCCCCATCTGTGCAATGTTCTCCCTCTGATTATAGCCCCCTAAGCTTCCCAGTGGAACAAGGGGAAGGAGCCTCTCCTGCCCCGTGTTGTGTGTAGACACTACAGAACCTCACAAGGCCATTGAACACATGAAAGCAGCACCAGAGGTAAAAAGAGGAAGAGAAGAAGGGACCACAATTTGGCACATCACCTAGCAAGTGGCTGCCATCGCCCTCCCTCTTTATCAGCACAAAGGACCACATTTGACACAATATTGTTGTGCTCTGGCAGGGGAGAGAGGGAGAGCAAAACGATGACTCAAGGTTCATCCATGCTTACCTTTTGCCCCACTTTTTTCAGGCAGAGGTCCTCACTTTAAAGCTCCATGTCTGAGCACTCCTTTCTCTCTCCCCCAGCAAAAACTGCTCTTCAAAGCTGAAGGGCAACAAACAAAGAATTTGTTTTCCCTGCAGACTGTTGTTTGCTCCGATTCAGTGCTAAAGAGCAGGTTTTCGTGGAGAAAGCTCCAGAGCAACAAACCAACAAAAAGAGCACTCGCGCACAGAGCTTTAAAGTGCAGACTATGCCTGGAAAGCATGCAGGGACAGTAAGTGTGGATAAGCCCTCAAAGGCCAAAGGGGGAGAGACCAGCAGACATTGCCTCTTCCAGAGGAGCCAGAAGATACCAACAGTGACCTCCCTGAACTACTGTGCAGTTAGACTATTTGTAGAGGGACAGCACTCTGCCCGCTCACCTTCCAGCAGAAGAAGAGTCTTGGAATCAGCTGCAGGAGAGCATCCTAGTCCTGGAGGGTGTCTCCCTGAAGAACCCTGCCAACTCTGCTCTCTTGACATAACCATCCCACCCCAATCCTGTGACTGGAGGTCACCACCTTCTGGCTCCTGGAGTCACTGGCAAAAACTACAAGGGAACAGGAGGCCACAACACCAAAGCATAGTCCAAGATGCTTACAGCAGCATCCCCTTGCATAGAAAAACATAACGAGCAGGATTAGACCAGGGCTAGCCTGCTGCATGGCAAGTTGGACCTTTGGGGAACACTCCTGGAGGTCATCATATCTTAGGCCACCTTCCAGACCACCTGCTTATTATGCATTCATCCTGATTTGTTTGCAGGAAGGTTGTACAACTTTTCATCAAGGAATGTTTACCCACATTCAGCATTGTATTCTGTTACTTTCCCTATTACAACCCCCCCCCCCACAAAAAAACACCCAATTTGGGGGAGGTTTGTTGCACAAAATTTGGAGGTTTGTTGTGCAAAAGTGCCAAATCCGCTTCAATTGTGGTTCGATCCCAACCACAAACCAGCATCTTCCTAAAGTGCCCTTACAGGTCTGAGAAGGTGGGATGAGAATGCTCCTGGCAAGGACAAGTGGATGTGGGAATGCAAATTGTGTGCCTGATGCGGAGAGAGTCCAACTACGGTAAGTCTTCTTCCCAAAGGGTGACCAATGAACAAAGGATGAACAAATGCTTCATCATTGCCTCTGGGAAAAACCACCTCCCCTTTTACAATAAACAGCAGGCCAGTTAATGTTGCAAAAATGACCTACTGTAGAGTTATACAAAAAACAATATTGCTCTTCGTTTCTGTAATTATTGCCTGCAATTATCCCTACACTGGACTATGTATTTTATTTTATTGCACTTCGTGTATAACAGTTATGGATCACTGACAGTTTCTCAAATGTCACGGTTAAGGTACATGGCACATCGAGTGAAAGGCTGCCATCCCATCAAAGGAGGAGAAGTAAGGCACATCAGTGGGTTCAGAATACAGCTCATTGACAGCCCAATGTGGTTTTGCAGATTAATCAGATTGTGAATACTGTAGTGTATACAAAGCAAAGCTGAAGTCAGTTGACCCAGTATGATTTTCTGAGGATCCCTAGGCAGCGTCTTTTTGGACAGATGTTGGCTTTTTGCATTTGACTCAAGCAGGACTGTTTTTTGCATAAATGATTTTCTGCAATGTGCAATTTGTGGCAATTTAACTGTCATTTTTCTGAAAGGGGCTGGCCCTTCTTTCTGTTTTCTTGCTTGCCTGGTTTTGCTTTAAAATCCCACCCCTGCCTGCCAACTTCAGTCTGCATCCAAGTCAGTCCCAAAACTCAAGTAGTTCCAAATCAGGCTATGTACTACAATCTCACTTCACCCCCAAATTCTGGGTTGAGAAGTTGCATTAGTAATGGAATAGGGACCAGTCAGGGACTCTTTGGTGCCAGATCCTCCGTCTTTGGACAGGGAGATACACTTGATGACCTCTTAAATAACTTCTAGCTCCGGTGGCTTGTACCCAGCCACTTGCATAGCAAATCCAGAACCCACAGGGCTCTGCTCTAAAGAGATCAGAATCACACTGAGCGTAAAAGGGGTGGCCATTCCCCACACCTGGTGCCAGCTTGTGGGAAATCAGCAGTCTTTTCCCTTAGTGATTCCCCTGGAGAGGTTAGCCAAGTAGGTGGCATGCAACAAACTGAACTTAGACCACTGCCCATTGTCTACACAGAAAGGATGCCAACAGGGTTGCACCATTATGCAATCCTGCACCCACCACCCAAACACCATACTAAATATCAGGAATACTAAGAGCCAGAGCAGTTTGCCTACCGCTCAACACATCACAGGATACCAGTCCTCCAAGTCAGCTGTGGCATGTGCTCAACAATGAAATTCTTACACGTGTCTAAAACCAGAGTTCTACTTTGATGTCAAGGTGCTGAGCTGGGCAGAGTTTGCCCCTTGCCACTGCATCCTGCCTAAGACACTCAGCAACACCACCTTGGTCTTCCCTCTCCATTAGTCTTTGCAGGGCTTCTCCCAGAAGGTCACCTGCACAGCAGAACCATGTTACAAAGAAGCAGCACAGCAGAAGGACAGTCCCCTCTCTCCACTGGTCCCAGGCTTCCAAGCTCTGCAGAGTCCCAGGGGGCGGAGTCCGAGGCTTGCAAGAGGAAAGCAAAACAGGAGCCAAAGACCATGCAGGAGAGTAACGGGTGCTAGTCTTCCTTCTCAGGGGTTTCCTCTGGGATCAGCGTCTGAAACGGATGGTCCCATAATTTGCTGGTGATGCCAAAGCCTGAAACAGGGAAGACAGAGAGGTGTAGAGTTAAGTCAAGGCATTGGAGGCTTCCGTCAGGGCTCTTCCGGTTTCCAGTTGCCCTGTTTATGCAGCAGTCTTTCTGATTTGCTTGCACAAACTTATGCAGTGGTTAGACTAATGCTGGTCTTTATTAACCAGTCATTCAGGTTTCATTGTAGGGCAGTTAGACAAAACGAGCATTTGTCCAGATTTAATTTTGTGGTGCTTATAAGCCTTCCTATCGATCATCTGTGCATCCTAGATTTTTTCAATGTTCACCCCAACACATTCCAAACCACACCATGTCTGCTTCTTTTCTAAAGTGGATTTGTTGTGCTCAGGTGACAGAGCACTTTAATCGTGGAAACCTAAAGTTCCAGAATGCACTTGAATCCTTCCCACAAAATAGTGGCCACCCGGAGGCTCCATCAGCTAGTTTTGGCATTTAGCAACCCTGAGAGATCAGCAGGAAGGGAGCAAAAGTCCCCTCCATTTTGTTTTTATTTTATGGATTCATTTTTTAAAAAACAGTACCTGCTTTTTCTTAACACTACCCCAAAACTATTCAGACCAGGATGGGGAACTTGTGGCCCCCCAGATATTGTTGGATTTGCAAGAAGTGGTCTGCCAGATCAGGCCAGTGCCCCATCTAGTCCACCATCTTGTTTTCACAGTGGCCAACCAGATTCCCCAAAGGGAAACCAGCAAGTGGTACCTGAGCCCTCGAGCCCTCTCCCCTCTTGCAGTTTCCAGCAGCTGGTATTCGGAAGTATTTACTGTCTCCAACAGTGGAGGTAGAACTATTGTGGCTAGTAGCAGGCAAGGCCAGTGGTTAGGGATGATGGGAGCCGTAGTCCAACAACACTGGGGGAGGGGGCATAGGCTCCTATTCCTGTGGTAGCAGCAGTTCAGGAGGCAAAATCCCCCCTCCATTACCTGCGTTCTGGTGTTCAAAATGGTGCTTCACATGGTACGCTTTCATCTCATACAAGTAGCTGCCTTTCTTTGGTGACCCATAATGCAAGTAATAGTGCATCATGTCATAGACAACGTAGCCGAAGAGCCCCCCGACGAAGAGGGAGGTCCCAAATGCTTCAGGAAATACAACTCTGGCAAGAACGTAGAAAAAGACAATGACCAGGGATGATGGTGCAGGTGGAAAGACCAGGCGAGATCCATCAAATGGAGACTGAAAGAGAATCGCAAGGAGCAGAATTAGTTACTAGTAGTTTAACTGACACCGTTGATGCTGAGGGACATCCCGTGGTTTGGAGTCAAAATACTCATGATGCAGAAGAGCAGAAATGAGTTCCAATGGCTGGACTTGGCTAACACTGTAAACCGCAGTTTATCACAACCACTGGCCATGTCAGTTTGCGGCTGATGGAAGCTGCAGTCCAGCAACATCTGGAGGGCCTCATGTCCCTCATTCCTAGGTTTAATGGAAACAAGCCACACCTTCTGAAGCTTTCGCTTATGTCTTTGATTACCTGAAGTTTATGTCAGAAGCTGGAGTCAGGAGTAGGTCAGCAATAAAAGACACCAGTGTCCATGAAATTTACTCTTTATTCAAAAAACCCAAAATAGTGCAGGCCTAGCATTCACAGAAAGTCTTCCCAGTAGGACTTGCCCCAGTGAAGAGGTTGCGAGGACTGAAGGTCCCTGCCTTCCCACCGCTCTCTAAGGCTTCTCCCCTGCTTCCTTCCCCAGCAGCCTAAGGCTCTGTTGTCTTGCTTCTCCTTGCTCTGTCCTCTACATTTTTCTGTCTGTTCAGGGGGAGGGGAGATGGTCTCAACAGGATGGGAGACTCCCTGGATTCTTCAGCAGCTTGCCTCATCTCTATCTGCTGGCCGCCTTCCTCTCCTGCCTTGGATTCTGGACTGCTTTCTACCCCAGCCTCATCCTGCTCACAAAACCCTGTTGCCTCTTCTGATTCCGACACCTCCTCTTCTCAGTCTGCTTCCTCTTCTCCCTCTGACCACTCATTGTCATCCCACCACCAGTCCCCTGGCTCTGGACCTTCTTCCCTTGGGAGTTCCTTTGGGGATTCCCCCGCTGGTGCCTCCCAGCACTCCTCTGCATCCAGCCAGTCCATGGCAGTTTAGCATTACACCTGAACCCTAAACTGTGGTGAATCCTAACTATGGTTTGTTCAAAGAAGCCAGCTTCGTAGCTAATGTGTTGAAGTTAGCTTGTTTCAAACGAACCACAGTTTCAGACAAACCTTAAGTTTGTCGGGTTCAGGCAAAATTAAGTGGTGCTTAATCAGAACAGAAGCTTCTGGACACCTCTGCACAGGTACGCCAGTCAAGGAGAGAACAGGGGCTGCAGATGGTTCCCATGATAAACTAAAGTTTATCATGACATCCAAATGCAGCCACTCTGGGTATCTGTGGGGGGGGGGGAGGTGTTACTGAAAACACTCCCTGCTTTAACGCAGGAAAACACACTTATTTCCTGGGGGCTTAAAGTGCACCAACCCACACGATGCATGCTCAAGTGCTAGCCTGTGCGCATTCCTCGAATGCTGCTCCCACCATGCGTTCTGGCAAGCAGCATTTTTCTTCTGCTGACTCCCAGAGAGAAACATAAGAAAGCTGCCTTATGCAGAGTCAGGCTGTTGGCCCCAAAAGCCCAGTATTTTTTATACAGGCTGGGAGCGGCTCCCCAAGGTTTCTAATGGGGATCATTCTGGCTTGGGCCCAGGCCACCTGTAATATCGTATCTGCTGCTATGAACCTGCCTGGGTGCTAAGATCCCCATGTGAGCCCCTTCTCTCAGTCCCGTCCACACTGGAGGCACAATTGGTGGTGTAAAGAGGGAGAGAGACTTTTCTGCTGCTGCTCCCCTGTGACAGAATTCCCTTCCAAGAGAAGTTGGACCGGCTTCCTCTTTGTTACCCTTCCAGCAGGCAACCTTCCTGTTCAGACACACCTTTGGAATCTAAGGTGCAGGTGATGCAGTTGTCAGGGAGGGCAAACTGGATTTTAACTGTTTGTTCTAAATGTACTTCAATTATTCTTTTTTATTTAAGTTTGTTTTTATCGCTTTTTATTTTATAGCATTGTTTATAACTGTTGTAAGCCGCGTGGGAGGAACGTGCGACATAAATACATTAAAAAGGATCATAGGACCACAGAATCGTAGCGTTGGAAGGGACCCCAAGGGTCATCTAGTCCAACCCCCTGCAATGCAGGAATCCTGTCCACAGCCATCCCGGGGTGGGTGGTAATCTTTCTTTGCCTGACCTGAAGATCCCAAGAATTGAACCTGGGAGCTTTTGCACACCGGTGCTCTGCCACTCAGTTCTAGCTCAACCTCAACTAATAAACTTCCTTATACAGAGTTGGACCATTGGTTTTGTCTCTACACTGACTGGCAGAAGCTCTCCAGGGGTTCAGACAGAGCTTTCCCCCCAGCCCTACCTGGTGATGCTGAGGATTGAGGATGGGACCTTTTGCATGTAAAGCACATCCTCTGCCACTAAGCTATGGCCCGCTTAGGAACTGCATCTGGGGCCAGTTCAAGAAGTGGGTTCAGGAGATTGCTCTGAGTGTCTCCTGATTTCTTCTTTGCAGCCATGGCTTTAATTTAAGCCAGGGTCGCAACAGAAGATTCTTACCCAAAGCGGACCTTGTATTTGGCTCTGAATCTGATGCAGAAGGTTAGCCCCGCTTCCGTTGGGGATCTGCTCCACCTGTTGGAAGTTCCCAATTGGCACCAGGGCACCGGAGGCAAGTCCTGCTCTAATAGTTCCTTTGCAGACACAGAGTTACCTGCCCCCACATGCGATGTCACGTCAGGTGGGCATGCCAGGGGGAGCAGAAAAAAACCCTTGTGTGCCAAATTTCTTTCTTTTTTTAAAAAAAAATTAATTATTATTTAAAAGTCTTTATTAAACATTTCACAAATTTATACATAAGTGTACTATATTACAATTTATACCCCATCCCATACAAAAGGAAAGTAAAAATACAAGAAAATTAAAACAAAAAGAGACCTAAAATAGACTTCTGATTGTTCTCAAAAAAAAGCTAAATCTCTTGTGTGCCAAATTCACAATGCTAGCAGGCCTCCTGCAGCCCTTGGCCCAGAGGTTTCCCCACGCGTACCGTGGAAAGAGACAAGGGCTCGCCTTGTGAAATAGACCACATCCATTCGCATGGGGTAGCTGAATTCAGTCTGGAGTTCCTTCCCACACAAGGTGGTTTCAGTGCTCAGGAAGGCTGTTGCTCTGAGTGACAGCCTTCTTTTTTCCAGCTGCTGCCTCATGGCATTTGCATTCCAAAAATGTGACCTTGTAAAGGGACCCCCATCCATCTAGGGTAGCTTTCACCCAACCTGGTGCCCTCTGGCTGTTTCAGACTACAGCTCCCATCAGCCCCTGTCAGAAAGGCTCCACGATGGTCATGCTGGCCAAGGCTGATGGGAGTTGTAGTCCAAATCAGTTTTGGGAAGGTTACTAGTTCGTGTGGTGGCCCATTTACCTTATGATGCTGACCGTGGAGCAGGAAATGCAGTGTGATCAGGTAATAGTTGTTGGCCGGCGGACTCATGTGGAAGATGAAGCGATGGATGATATATTCGACTAAGGACCACATGCACATCCCCACAATGAAGAGCAACGGGAACCAGGTCTTCTGAACACGGATGGAATATGCTACACAGCAGGGAGGGAAGACGAGAGGTCAGCAAGCCCTACAGTCTGGACCTCCTCAGTCCTTGAGGAGGACTTGCTCTAAGGACATCAACACAGCACCCAACACAGCCCCATTCAGCCCAGCAGCCAGTTTCCAACACTGGCCAGCCCAGGGGTTGTCATTTCGATTTTTCTGTGGTGGGTGCACTGTTCCCCCTACCCATCCAAAGTTGCTAGAGTGAAGATAGAGAGCAACCCCTCATTCTGAGCTGGCTTCAAATGTCATCAGGTAGCTGAATCTCATTGGCCACGTTGCATGGTCATCAAAGGCAAATCAGAAAGAGGGCAAAGATCCCTCCCTCTCCCCCCCAAAAAGAAACCCAGTTATACAAATTGGTTACATCCTCAGCATGTTCCAAGAGCTTTGGGAGATACAGACCTCATCCTTTCACCAAACCTTTCCCTCTGAGAAAAATCTGAGGGTGGGAACACCCCACTCACAAGACCCCAGAGGATCCAGGTGGGAATAAGAATGTGAGAATTTAAGAAGAGCCTGCTGGCATTATTGTTGGCTGGGTGTGATAGGAGCAGAAAACAGAAAGCTCCCCCGCTCCCCAAGGAGGAGCCTAGGCTGGCACAGAATGGCACCCCTGGGGGGGAAGACAGCCAGCCAGTGGAGAACAAGGGGGCAGGCCATGCGCCTCAGACTGCAGGTGCCGCAAGCTGGAGTCTGACTGAGTGAGATTCAGGCTTCTGGCTCAGCACAAGCCCTTCTCTGTGCAGGGCCCACTGTGGGTGGCGTGGAGGCGGAGGGAGCTACTCGGGACAATAGCTGCTTTCTCCATTCCTGACTCCTGATTATTGTTGCTGAAACCTGCCTGGGGGCTGCGCTCCTTAAACCGCAGATATTTTGAGGTGGTGGCATGAGGTACGGCTTCTGATACAATCACTGTACAGTGGTACCTCGGGTTAAATATGCTTCAGGTTACATATGCTTCAGGTTACAGACTCCGCTAACCCAGAAATAGTGCTTCAGGTTAAGAACTTTGCTTCAGGATGAGAACAGAAATCGTACTCCAGCAGCACAGCAGCAGCAGGAGGCCCAATTGGCTAAAGTGGCGCTTCAGCATAAGAACAGCTTCAGGTTAAGAACGGACCTCCAGAACGAATTAAGTACGTAACCAGAGGTACCACTGTATTGCAATCCTCGTGGAATAAATCAAATTGTGTGATGTTCCCCCGCTTGCCTGGTGTCATAGCAGAGAGACTCCGAGCACACTATGTTCTGGGTGTCTTGCATTAAATCACATAGTCAGTAATTAGCCATATGCGGCAGCGCCTGAGCATACTCAAGAGTGCCTTGGGAAAAGAAAAGGTACATGTGGTCACGAAGTTCCCTGCACGGTGCAAGGAAAGGAAGCCTCGGGACACATACAGAGGGTTGCACCCAATGTAACTCATACTCAGGAGCAGACCAGCTGAAATTAATAGACATGGCTGACTCAGGACCATTAAGTAGGCACTAGTTAGACAGAACCCAGAGTGGCTCCTTGTGGCTCACCTCGTGGCTCACCACCCAGGCACAAGGAGGAATGTAGTCAAAGTTGCCTCCTTGGATCAAAGCCTGAGTACACTTTAACTAACTCAGCCTGTACAGCCTGTGCTATTGGTACAGCAATAAACTTTCAGGACGTGTGTGCTGGGAGCACTGAAAGGGGAAAGTGTTGGATCAATCCTGGATTGATCCGACAGAAAGAAACTAATGTGCACCAGTCACAGAGGGCACCCCCTCCATGCGTACATATGGCAAAGATTTAGCAGCTGCTCATGGTGCCTGCATTGAGTGCAAATATGGGCCCCTGCAGTGATCCCTACAAAAGGGCTTTCAAAAAGCCCCAAAACACAGTGCTTCAAAGGCTGAAGCATATGTGCAGCCCATGAAAGGGGTATACGCTTATCTTCTCTCCATTCCCAACGACCAGAAGGCCTTTCCTCCATTCCCCCCCCATTACACATTTGCCCAGATGCACTGCATTGCTGGCCCACCAAGAATAAGGCTTCATCCTGCCTTTTCTCTCCATGGGAAACAGAGGGGTTGGGCTCAGGGCACAGGGCTCCCAGGCAGGATTGCTCCTCAGCTGACACAGACGCAAACTGGCCCCACCAGCTGAAAGATGCCCCTTTTCCTAATGCCCCATTGCCCAGGTGCAGACCTGCCTCTCCCCACTCGGAGCTTTGTAGTGTCCTGAGAAGCTTGTTTAAAGAGGCTGATGGATTGAGCATAGGCACCTGTTGTGAAGGTAGAAAACAGCCAGGTTTCTCCCTTCGCAAGCGACGTGTAGCTATGCCAGCTGAGATAAAGCACCAGCGGAATCCAGACGGCACAGACTGTGTACCTGGAAGGAAGAGGGGAAAAACATCAGCTGTCTCCTGGCAGGCGAAGAAGAGCCTTTGGGGAACCCTGCAAATTCTGGGAAAATCTAAGCTGGTGAAAAGGAGGAGGCAGGTGTCTCTCTCCCGGCTGCAGGCCCCACAACCAATTGTCCCCCCCCCAAAAAAAAGAGAGAGAGAGAGAGAGAGAGAGAAAGCAGCAGCCATCAGTGGGTAATAATAATAATAATAATAATAATAATAATAATAATAATAATAATAATAATATTTATACCCCGCCCATCTGGCTGAGTTTCCTCAGCCACTCTGGGCGGCTTCCAATTGAGCGTTAAAAACAATACAGCATTAAATATTAAAAACTTCCCTCAACAAGGCTGCCTTCAGATATCTTTTAAAGATAAGATAGCTGCTTATTTCCTTCACATCTGAAGGGAGGGCGTTCCACAGGGCAGGTGCCACTACCAAGAAGGCCCTCTGTCTGGTTCCCTGTAACCTCACTTCTCGCAATGAGGGAACCGCCAGAAGGCCCTCGGCGCTGGATCTCAGTGTCCGGGCTGAACAATGGGGGTGGAGACGCTCCTTCAGGTATACTGGGCCGAGGCCATTTAGGGCTTTAAAGGTAAGCACCAACACTTTGAATTGTACTCGGAAACGTACTGGGAGCCAATGCAGATCTCTCAGGACCGGTGTTATGTGGTCCTGTCGGCCACTCCCAGTCACCAGTCTAGCTGCCGCATTCTGGATTAATTGCAGTTTCCGGGTCACCTTCAAAGGTAGCCCCACGTAGAGTGCATTGCAGTAGTCCAAGCGGGAGATAACTAGAGCATGCACCACTCTGGCAAGACAGTCAGCAGGCAGGTAGGGTCTCAGCCTGCGTACCAGGTGGAGCTGGTAGACAGCAGCCCTGGACACAGAATTAACCTGCACCTCCATGGACAGCTGTGAGTCCAAAATTATTCCCAGGCTGCGCACCTGGTCCTTCAGGAGCACAGTTACCCCATTCAGGACCAGGGAGTCCCCCATACCCACCCACCCCCTGTTATTAGGTTTTTGTTCTGTTTTATTCTGGTTTTAACGTATGCATTATTTATTTATTGTAAGTTGTTTTGAGTTGCTTTTGTAAACAAACAGAAAAGCAAGTAATAAGCCAGGGGTCAGCAAACTTTTTCAGCAGGGGGCCAGTCCACTGTCCCTCAGACCTTGTGGTGGGCCAGACTATATTTTTTTTAGGGGGGGGTGAACGAATTCCTATGCCCCACAAATAACCCAGAGATGCATTTTAAATAAAAGGACACATTCTACTCATGTAAAAACATGCTGATTCCTGGACCGTCCATGGGCCGGATTTAGAAGGCGATTGGGCCAAATCCGGCCCCCAGGCCTTAGTTTGCCTACCCTTGGTTTAAATGTTGATAATGCCCTCCTGATCCATATCAGGACTATGGTGAGGGCAAAGGACTAAATCTTCTCCATAACACGGTCTCGATCCAGATCACTCACTCACCCACAAATGGCTGCAGTCCCCCTCCCACCATTTCTAGTTGGATGAATAATGTCTTCTCTAGTACCACTCCTAATTCCATATAACCAATTGTAGTGATGAATGAATGGTGCTTCCTTAGCTGGGGTGGATTATTTAGGTTGGATTAGAGCAGAGGGAAGCCAGTGTGGTCCCCTATACATGTTACTGGGGAACCAACCAGTGTGGCGAACAGCCAAGGATGATGGGTGTCATCGTCCAGCAATGTTTGGAGGGCACCACTTTGGCCAACTCTTGACTGGTAGCAGTTCTGCCCCCTTCCAAACCAGTGAATTTGGTGCCCCACCTATTGAGGATTGCCCAGCGACAGCCAAAACGCAACATGACCCACACAACTTCACCCAACATTCTTCACCTGCCAGGACTGATTTGGACTCCCGGCTATCTGATGCACCCCAGAGCCTCACCATGCTGTTTTGGAGAGAGATTCAATAAAATCTGAGTGGAATAAGCGAATGGGACGATCCACTGGTTGATGCACCCATTCATCGTACTTCTCCCCCAAGTGGCCCACTTGCCACAGCAAAGGTTTACGCCAGTCCACGAGCTCCTAGAGAAGAGAAAGAGTGCAAAGAGTCAGAGGTTTCAGCAAGATCAAGCAGCCTTTGCACCTCCCCAGCTGGCTGGTCAGAGCCATGGGATTTCTCCTGAAGCACTCTCAGGTTTTAGCCATTTCTGGGGGTTAAGCAACAGTCAGGGCTGTGGACACATTCTCTAATTCCAGAATTAATTAAGCAGAATAAGCAAAATGAGAAAAGGGCACGAAAGAGACAATAGAACAATGGAAATATTGGGATTATAGGAAGTGCTCGTCTCAAAACCCCTCTCCCTTGTCCATTAGAATGCATTGGCTAAATTAGTACAACACGCCCACACCCCCCAAATAATAATTCAGAGGTTAATTTGCTCTCCAAGCTGCAACAAGGAACATCTCCATCCCATTAAAAAGGTAAAGGGACCCCTGACCATTAGGTCCAGTTGTGACCAACTCTGGGGTTGCGGCGCTCATCTCGCTCTATGGGCCGAGGGAGCCGGCGTTTGTCCACAGACATGTGGCCAGCATGACTAAGCCGCTTCTGGCGAACCAGAGCAGCGCACGGAAATGCCGTTTACCTTCCCACCGGAGCGGTTCCTATTTATCTACTTGCACTTTGACGTGCTTTCGAACTGCTAGGTTGGCAGGAGCAGGGACCGAGCAACGGGAGCTCACCCCGTCACAGGGATTTGAACCGCCGACCTTCTGATCGGCAAGTCCTAGGCTCTGTGGTTTAACCCACAGCGCCACCTGTGTCCCTCTCTCCATCCCATTAGTTCGTAGTTAATGATCCTAAATCAACACTCTCATGGAACCAACACATGCATTGCTTTAAGGGCAGCTACCCCCTTCCCCCTCCATTTATTAACTTGCTATTGGAGTGGGTTCTATGGCAAAATGGTCACACTCACTTTCTGTAGGCTACTGGGGAATGGTTAGGAATCCTTTCACTCTTTAGATCTAGGTGTGTAGGTGCTGCAGAATTTGCTGCCTGCTTAAATTGTAATTAAGCTCCAGGATAGGCACATATTCATAACTCTAGCGAAACCTCTTGGTAGCATGTGTATAAATACACAAGTAGCATGTGTAGCATGTGTAGCATGTGTAGCATGTGTAGCATGTGTAGCATGTGTAGCAAGTAGCACAAGACGCATACCTTGCAACAACTGCAACCCTGCATTGTCAAGGGTTGGGTTACTAGATGATCCTTGGGATCTCTTCCAATTCTACAATTCTATGAGTCTATGAAATGACTCAGAAGAACCAGCTAATATCTGGCTCTTCCTTGGGGGTAGTGGTCATAGTATTATCATTATAAGAGATAGAGAAAACATTCAATTCAGTACACATTCAAAACATAATCTGTAAAATTCACACTTTCTAGAACAATATGCAAATCATAACACAGCTATTCCTTGAAATTCACGCTTATCCAAATTTTTTCCAATCAATGTTTTTTAAAGATGCACATATCAGTGGAGGGTACTCATAAACATGCACATATTACTGAAAAGAGTTTAGCAAAATGTATTATATTAGGGGAAATCACTTGCAAAAATGTGTACTGTGCATCAAAAATGCATCAAAAAAGTGTTTATTGGGAGAAATTCACACTGAAATGCCAGGGAACTTTCATCCCAACAAATTGCTGCAAAATGTAATGAACAAAATTTAAATTAAAAAAGAAAAAAGAAAATGAAAGAACCAACATTAAATACTTCCACCCTTAAGGATTATTTGTTCATCACTTTTTACAAAACCTCTTAAAGCACCTTACAAAATCTTAAGATGCAAAAGTATCAAACTTACAAAAAAATCAATAAAACATAATACTAATAATGGTATTGCATAATGGTATTGCATACTCTCACGCTGTCAGTGTGATATAAGAAATTATGATCCCAGCCGCTAATGAATCTGTTGCTTGATAAGTTCTAACTAGCATCCCAGCTGCAGGATCTCAGGCTCAAAATGCAGGGCGTGATGAGTTCCTGCAAGAATCAATCATACCTTGCACCTGACTGTCATTATGAAACCAATTTCATAATTGGTTTTAATTTTTAAAAATTAATTCCATTCTTTAAACACAAGTAACAAGGTGAGTCAGGTTTAATTAAGGTTTAAGTTAGGTTCACTACATGAGCATCTGGAAAGCACAACCGGCCTCAGCTGCAGAGTATACTATATTTCTGTAAAAGGAAATAAGCTTTGAGAATTTGAGAGAATTCAATACCCTTTTTTGTCCTTTCAGTCTATGACAGGGCTGGGCAACCTTCACCCTTGGAGCCCATCTTGGCTCATGAAGCCATTTTTCAAACCATGTCCACCTGCTAACCTACTGATGTTGTAAATTTCATCAACTGATTGCCAAGAGGGTGGGGCTCTGTTTTGCATTGGCTGCTAATGCCTGTAACAAGGAGGGCCATCAGTGCAGCAGGATTTAATTCTCACTCATTTCTTCATTTTGCTGAGGCATGCAGCTGTTGAAAACACAGAGTTCTGGGGTGGGTGCAGATGGGAAGGTGTCCCAGATCACAGGGATACCTCTGATGAGAAAGATGCTTGGGACTTAACCCCGTGGGAATGTCTGGGCAGGAGTTTTCGATGGGGAGGAGGACTGGTGGAAAGAGAGGCATCAGGCCCAGGGAGGGGCCTAGGGGATCGAGAGGCAGGATAAAGAACCTGTGGGGGGCCTCTGACCTGGGGGAAGGGCTGAGTGGGGGAAGGGTTGTCAGAGGGACAGCCCAACTCAGTGTCAACTGATACCCCAGGCACAACATCCCAAGCAGGTCAAGGCTGCTCCAGAGCCAACCTCTGCCAGCGTGGGGGCCAACCCCTCAGGTGGTGCAATGGGTTGCGTATTTGGCTGTTAACCAGAAGGTTGGTGGTTCAAGCCCACCCAGGGACAGCTGTGGGCAGGATTCCTGCATTGAGGCGGGTTTGGGCTAGATGACCCTTGGGGTCCCTTCCAATTTATGCTTCTGGGATTCTGTGAGTGGAACGGAAGGAGAAACCTGACAATGATCCTGCCTCATGGTCTCCACCTCTGTCGGCAAGGCCTGGAGGGACTGTGCCAGTACTTGGCACAGCGTTCGCTCTGACCCTCAGAACTTTGATAACACCTTTGACGAAGGTGACTGTCCTGCTCTTCAAATGAGGAGCCTGGTGTGTGTGTGTGTGTGTGTGTGAGAGAGAGAGAGAGAGAGAGAGAGAGAGAGTACGTGGGTCTTTGCTTCTGTCCAGCCAAATCCTCTCAAGTTCGCCCGTGCTTTCTGACTTTGTGTGCTGTAACCCTGGAATAGAGATTATTATCACAACAGCTAAGCCATGAGTCTGAATACCAAGCCAGGACAGGACATGAGCTCCATGTCAGGTGAAAGATTCCTGAATTGCAGGCCGTTGGACTAGATGACCCTCATAGGTAAAGGTAAAGGTACCCCTGCCCGTACGGGCCAGTCTTGCCAGACTCTAGGGTTGTGCGCTCATCTCACTCTATAGGCCGGGAGCCAGCGCTGTCCGGAGACACTTCCGGGTCACGTGGCCAGCGTGACAAGCTGCATCTGGCGAGCCAGCGCAGCACACGGAACGCCGTTTACCTTCCCGCTGGTAAGCGGTCCCTATTTATCTACTTGCACCCGGGGGTGCTTTCGAACTGCTAGGTTGGCAGGCGCTGGGACCGAGCAACGGGAGCGCACCCCGCCACAGGGATTCGAACCGCCGACCATGCGATCGGCAAGTCCTAGGCGCTGAGGTTTTACCCACAGCGCCACCCTGTCCCTCCCAATGACCCTCATAGTCCCTTCCAACTCTACAATTCTGTGGGGAGAACCTCAATACAGCTGAGGACCAGCAGAAACGCACTGCAGTCCCAAGGCAGCTTGACAGGCACCAAGTCCATGGATGTCTCCCTCTCCCTCCCCATAACCAGAGAGCCAGTGGTGGTATACAGGTTAAGAGTGTCAGGCTGGGATCTGGGAGACCAGGGTTCAAATTGCTGCTTGACCATGAAGCTCACTGGGTGACCTTGGGCCAGTCACTCCCCCTCTCAGCCTGACCTACTTCACAGGGTGGTTGTGGGGTTAAAATGGAGAAAGGGAGAACCATGTTTGCCACCTTGAGCTCCTTGAAGGAAAGGTGAGATATAAATGTATTAAATGAATAGATAATCCCCTCCTAGCACATCCTCAGCCCTGCCTTGATCCACCAATGATCCCCCTTTGCACCTTGGATCTGAAGGGAAAAGGCAACAGCAGAGCAGGTGGAACATCATCTCTCAGTCTAGACTTGCTATTTGGGGCAAGGGATTTTCCTTCCTCGGGCTTCCCACAGTGCGGGGTCCCATTCAGCTGCACTCTCCACACCCAGCAGGTTTGTTTTCCACAGCTGTAAAGTGGCATGATACTGCTGTAAATTTATTGTGTAGATGGGGCCTTCCGTCCTGAGTGGATTGCTTCCACACAGCACAAACATAACCCCATTCTCTATTGCACCAGCTAAGCAGATCACAGGCCTATTCTGTACATTGTACAGGATCAACTTTCTACCAGGCTGGCAGGAGCAGGGTGGAGAACCACCTACAGAACCTCTGCATATAGGGTTGCCACCTTTGGTCGGACAAAACACAGGACATGTTGGGAGGGGTTTGGTGGGCTAAAAATTAATTTACCTGGTTCAGAAATTACTTCACAGCAATCCATTACAATGGCACACATGGTTGGCAGTGCCTTGTTCAATAAAAGAAATAACAAAATCACTACGATTGATAAGTTTGAGGAAAATACTGGATATCATGTGTACAGCTGGGCTTAATAATGCTAATTGGTTTGACCCCTGTCTGCCACCAGCCCTGCAGGAGCCACCTTGTCTGCCTTGATGGCAAAGGCCAGTGTCCGCTTCCAGGCTAATCCATTATTACTTTAATGGAGTAATGTGTATTTAAGCAAATGAATTCATCAAACTTAATCAAACATCAAAGTGCAATCAACATCATTAGTGCAATCAACATCATTAGTGCA